CTCAAATATTTTTTTTTTTTTTTTTTGGTTTTTCGAGACAGGGTTTCTCTGTACAGCCCTGGCTGTCCTGGAACTCTCTCTGTAGACCAGGCTGGCCTCGAACTCAGAAATCCGCCTGCCTCTGCCTCCCAAGTGCTGGGATTAAAGGCATGCGCCACTACCACCCGGCAGTCCCAAATCTTATATGTTAAAAAGATATAGCCCAGGACAAATTTCAACTGACTAGGATAAAAATACCAATGAGCATTTTTATCTAACCATTACGGTCTCGAAACAGAAATGTGACAGCAGGTAGCTCCACATGGAGAACATGTGACCTGGTGACTCTGCTGCTCCAGGACATTTTTTTGTTGGTCTGTCTGTCTGACTCTCTCTCTTTCATTTTTTACTGGACTTCCTCCCTCCCTCCCTCCCTCCCTTCCTTCCTCTCTAAAGATTTATTATACATATGTAATGTTCTTCCTGGATGGCCAGAAGAGGACACCAGATCCCATTACAGATGGTTGTGAGCCACCATGTGGTTGCTGGGAACTGAACTCTGGACCTCTGGAAGAGCAGCCAATGCTCTTAACCTCTTCGCCATCTCTCTACCCTACGCTTTTTTTGGATACATGTATCCAAGGCTGAGGATGACTGTGAGCTGATGCAATTACTGGTTGCCTCTGTCTCCTAAGCGATGACATTACAGGCATGTGTCGCTCAGCTGAGTTCACGTACTGCTGAGGATGAACTCAGGGTCTTGTGTACGCTAGGCAAACACTCCACCAGCTGAGCTCTAGACCTAAACCCTGACATAAACTGGAATGTGCCCTTTGGCAGTCTGCCAGCAGAGGAGTACAGACCAGTCTGTTGAGGCCAACTCTGACAAATAGCAAAAACTCTACCACCACGAAACCTGTAGTTGTTGGTTTTGCCAGAAAAGGCTCACCTAGGTGGCCGGTCAGGAATAAATGCTGGGGCCCATACCTGACAATATCACACTTCCACTGTTCCCCTTCAGGACAGAAACTGCTCACGCCCTCCCGGTACAGGAGGGCCCTCTGCTCTGTCAGTGCCCACACAACACTGTTCCGGGCTGCGATCTGGGACAGTGGGTAGGGACAGTCGACCTTCACGGCTCGGGCGCAGGGCCGATCCACGCTGAGCCCTGTAGAGAGAGAGGAGCCCCGCAGACTCAGTAGCAGCATGGCACACTCTATTTTGATCTGTGGTTTTCTTTTTTGGTACTTTTGCTATCTGTGGTCTTTTATAATAGATACCTTTCCAAGTACAACTTCTCAGGTAAAACCCCAGACTTATACTGCAAGGCCTGTGCACAGTCAGCGCTCCCGGGAGCTTCCCTCACCTCTTTGTGGCTGTCAGTGATGTGTGTCGTGTATCTAAATGATATCAAAGGCAACTCCTGAGGGAGCGGGCTGGACAGATGATATGTAAACCCTATAGTTTTGGTCAGCAGGTAGGTTCTACTAGTATAATCACAAGGGCACCAGCAGAGCTTGCAACCACGAGGACTTGCCCATGGGACATCTTTGTGCAAATGGTGCCAACCGCAGAGTCTAATTCAGTAGGACGGGAAGGCGCAAGGTGCTATGAAAACTGCTCTGACACCATGGTTGGAGGTCACCTGCTCCTTCCTTACATGTAGGTCCAAAGTATCCTCTTTCCTGCCATGACCAAAGTCAAGTGCCCTGGAAGCCAGATGTGCCCGTGTGTATTGGAGCAGCCTATTTCCACTGAAATGCCTAAGAATTAACTAAGCTGAAGGCTAGAGCCCCACACATGTCCATGAAGTTGGCAGTGCTGATGACCAGGTGATGACTTCCACACCAGAGACATTCCACACCGGGAGAACCATTACTGGCTGATAGCTCACTCTAAAGACGAAGCCATGTTCTCAGAGTCAGTATTAAATGACTACATCAATCTTCACGCAAATCCAACATGGCCTCATGAGAGCACCACAGAGCCCCGGCTCCCAAGGCCATTCCCCCGACAGTACACAGTTCCCCCTGCTGACAGTATGCAGACACTGACTCATTACAGTCTATTTTAAATAAACGAGTCCCACTGTGCCAGGTCTAGCAGCTAAAGGTTTCCCCGAGGGCAGTTTCCTAGGGCGAGTCAACCTGCTATCTACAGAGAATTACTTCTTGTTGTTTCCCCCCATCCACTTGTAAGTATGTGCTCAGGCTTTGACCTAGCTGAGAAAAGAGGGAGATGTCAAGTCATGGCTATTTCTGCTTTCCTCTCGTCCTGGATACTCCAGGATATGCACAGGCATATGGATGGGCAGCAGGAGCATCGGGCTCTACCCACACAGCATCCTGCCCTGCACTCAATCATCTATTCATTCCTGTCCAGACTAGTCTGTGTCAGGGGAATTGCCCTTCCATGGCAAACAGTGCTTCTAGAAATGTTCTCACTTAACTTGGTTTTCGGTCTCTGCATCCTGTGACTGCTCTCAGAATGTGACTAGCTGCAGATTCAGCAAGTGACAAGGACAAGGTATATGGCCTTCGACTACCTGTCTGAAGGTACAGATCTCCGTTGGTCCTGATGATCCAGGCTGTGTCATCACTCAGGGCCACAAACACAGCCTGGGGCAGAGCCTCGTACCAGTGCCGCTTCCCTTTGATGGTGACTTTGCCACAAGCAAAAGCACGGTTAGATTTCTGTTCAATCTTCCAGAGAAGAGCCCCTAGGAAAAAAAAAAATTCTACTCACTGCTAAACAAACATGAGATTCACCTATACAAACGCTCCATTCTCGGCCCTGCAAGGGATAGCTTTCTAAAATACATCTTGTTGCTTCCAACTCAGGAAAAGCCCACCAGGCCGGAGTTTAAACCCACCAGCTCTATGTTGTCGGACAACATATGAATGTGTCCAAGTCTCACTTTTCTCAACTGAAAAGTGGGTCATTTCCACCTTTTGGGACTGATTTAAAGACTAGATGAAAGGAGAAAGCCACCACATAGCATGGGGATGGCAAGAGGCAGTCACTCATGTAGGGGGAGAGAAGCAACATTTCATTAGGTACCTGCCCACTGACGCATGAGGCACAATTAGTGCCCAACACTTGGGAAACACTTGAGGACCTTGGGAACGGGCCTTTTCTGGATCACTTATGTGTATCTGAGTTGGGTCGGCATGTTTTCATTCAAAAGAATTCTAAGGAACAGATAAATGAGGTGAAAAAGGTGGGCGGCAGGCCAGAGGCACTGTGGGAGAAGGCTATGGCACTGGGTCGGGTGGGGAATGCCAAGGAATGACTGAACTGAGCTACCAAGGCCTCTCTCTAGCCTTGCCCTGCAACACCACAGAGCCTGAAGCATCCAAAGAGGATGATGCGCTCAGCTGAGAAAAGTGATCTCACAGAGACAGACAGCTCCAACCACAGCAACCAAGGAACGGTTGGTAAAATAAAAAGTAATTAATACAATCAGCAGAGAACCAACACTTCTAAATGGCTAGGAGGAGGAGCTTAAAAGCATATGACAGAAACAGGAAAAAAATGAAGATATACAAATTATACAACACCAGCTAATGGAGTGGGCTATTATCTCACCCAGTCTCCAGGGAAAATCAGTGCCAAGCAAACAGTGAAAGAAAGGCAGCTAACAACTAATAAACTAATACTTTAACAAGAATGTCCTTTCTTTTGCTTCTCCTCCATGATGCCCACTGCTTCAGAAGAGATAAACGCGTATCCAGCATTAGGAAAACGCAAACGAAGCAGAGTGGGGGTTATGCCTATAGCCCCAGCTCTTGGGAGGCTGAGGCAGGAGGACCCAGTCTGAGGCCAGCCAGAATTCCACTGAATTCAAAGTCAGCCTTGCTATACAGCATGGTCATGTCTAAAACCAAAACAAACAGATAAAGAAAACCACTAACAAGTAAATGAGTCTCCACAGCTAAGGGGGTTATCTCAGCCGAGCAGAACTGTATTCAAAAACGTCTCCGTGTACTCACTAAACACTAAAATGCTAACCGATGCACACAGTGTGAGGACCTCTGCTACTGCAGTCAGGGAAACGCTCCCTGGCACATCCAGCACACAGCCAGCCTGTCTTCACTACTTCAGTTGTTTTAAAGCAACCCTGACAAACCGAAATACATGGTATTTTTAAGAGGATTTAGTGTTCCAACATGAGGAGAGAAAAAAAACCCTCAAAACTCAAATTATTTGTATAACTTACAAAAATATGTTCCTTGTGTTATCACTGCAATTACTAAAGTAAAAAACAAAAAACCAAGCAAGTATGTTGAACACCCATTACCCTAACCTGTCTCAAAGGAAACATTCATGATCTTTACAGTACTCAGCTAAGCTGGCAGGAAAAAAAAAAAAAAACTCTTTGCTGTTGCCAGAGGACAGCTGCCTTGTGAGGGGGAGCTGTGTTGGGGGTTGGGAAGTGGGAGCTGGGAGTCGAACCTGAGGGAGAGACTGCCATCTGCTGGACAGCATCTTCAAATCTCTGCCAGCGCAGCCCTGCACCAGGCAGGGCACTGCAGAACAGGCCACCTTTGTAGTCCAGGCACCAGATAAACTTTTCCGAGACCGCCAAGCTGAGGATGCCATAGCCAGGACCCGAGTAGCCCATCCAGCTCTCTGCAAACTAACAAGGACAGAGGCCAGTGAGTTCTATGGCAGAGGATACTGCTGCCTTCATCATACTGTTACCAACAAGTGGGCAGGATACTGAAGTCAAAGGATCGTTGAGGAACCTTGCCTACTCCTGCTCTCCTTGGATCCAGTCCCAGGAACATTCTGGAATAGGAGTTGTGGTCCTTGTGGAAGATTCCATAACATCCCTGGATAACACTTTCTCATGGCACAGTACCCTTCCTAAGTAATGTTCGAAGATGTATACAACCACTTGTCAAAACAAGACATTGTCACCTTGCAAGTCCACATTCAAGAACCACATAACTGAGTCACACCCCTCCCACAAAAAAGTTTGCAAAAGAAAACAGAACACTTAGCTGGGCGGTGGTGGTGCACGCCTTTAATCCCAGCACTTGGGAGGCAGAGGCAGGTGGATTTCTGAGTTCGAGGCCAGCCTGGTCTACAGAGTGAGTTCCAGGACAGCCAGGGCTACACAGAGAAACCCTGTCTTGAAAAACCAAAAAAAAAAAAAAACAAAAAACAAAAAAAACAACAGAACACTTAAAGTAAGTTTATGATATGACTTTGGGTTATACTTATAGCTATCCTGGTGCATATGCCTTGTACAGGATACAGGCCACGCATGCTGGTAGAGCATGACATCACATCAAAAGAGACCAGGCTTTATTCTATACAAACCTTACTTTATACAAGGAGGTGTGTTCATTCATGAAAGAGAATGGTTTTTACCTTTTTCCACCTGGACTGTTCACCACAGCAAACTTTTCTATTAGCCCTTGCCTTAAACAAACAAAGAAACAAATAAAGAAACAAACAAAAAACCCCAACATTTCTCAGCTTTTCTGCTATTTGGAGCAAGACCAGGTATGACAAAGCTCGGTAGAAAACCTTAAGAGCTCCGGGATCCTTTCCCATGGGTGAGGGCTTTCTTAAGTTAAAGTCCTAAGATCCACTGACAGATGTGATCAGCCAGCTAACACTCTGTCAGGTGATGACACTGCTGAGGCTTCCCACAGCTCTGCACTTGCCTCAACACCCTTATCCAAGTCCCACCCAACTGATGCTCTGAGCATGTGCCTGGCTTCCCAGAAACAAGGAGTCCACAGCTAGCTGCCACCTGCACTGAGCTCCCAGCATGAACACACACACTGTCAGAGCACTTAGGAAGCAGTGCACTGAAAAGATGAAGGCAGATGCTGAACAAGTCGCCCAGGTTCTGAGATAGAAGACAAAGAACAGCGGAGAGTCCTGGGCCATTCTGATCTTCACTTGTACTGTGACCTGGTGGATACACTACTCTTCTGAGGCTCAACTTCCTCCTCCATATAACGGGGATGACTGCACACATGTCCTAGTTTGTTTGTTCTACAGATTTATTTATTTAATTTATGAGTACACTGTAGCTGTTTTCAGACACATCAGTAGAGGGCATCAGATCCCATTACAGATGGTTGTAAGCCATGGTTGCTGGGAATTGAACTCAGGAAGGACCTCTAGTCAGAACTCTTAACTGCTGAGCCATGTCTCCAGTCCCCCTACACATGCTCTCAGCACGGGGATGCAGTGTGGGCCTCACATCAGCTACCAGGGAATGCGCTGGTATGGCTAGCACTGAAGCCAAATGTATTTGCAAAGACTTACACGCCAAAGAAAGTAAACACTCAAACATCACCCTTAGGGCTGGGCATGGTGGCACAAGACTTTGATGCCAGTACCCAGAAGGCAGAGGCAGGTGGAACTCTGAGTTCAAGGCCAGCCTGGGCCACAGAATGAGTTTGAGATCCTGTTTTTAAAAGTAGTTTTAAATATAAAACTCCCAAGAACAATAAATTGTACTGGCTGAGAGGCCCCACAGCAGGTTGGGGCTTCACTCTGCAGTGTGTCCTGGGGCACTATAAAGATACTGCAGAAACAGCATTTGTGCAGAGGCCTCCAATTCAGACTGATGTCCCTACTGTGAATGGACTGCGGGAAAGGCAGGAACTACCCACCTCATATGTGCTCAGAGCAAACAGTCCTCTGCACAGTGTCGTTCCAATGACCCCAGGCTACCTTAAGTGCCTACACTGGTGTGGCCTTGAAAGAGCCCACTTTTGTTGGTAGGAGGTTAATTGAGTGAGATCAGAAATAATATAGTTCAAATGATTCAGAGTCCCTGCATTGGAAATTCCCCCAAACCTAGACTTTAAAGCTGCAGGTTTTGCAGTACTACGATTTCCGTAAGAAGGAAAATGATTGAGTCTGCCATGGATGCTCTTTAAAGGAAAAGCAGCAGCCGCCACACACACTAGTGATGTTTCCTGCATCAGCACACAGACCTGATCTGCCTTGAGCAGTGTGGTTTCCTCAGCACCTGGTTGGCTCAGCTCCTGCAGAGAGCGAGCAGCTCCAAGCTCTGTGACACTTGTCTCTGAGGATGAAGATGGGAGTCCATGGGCATAAATGTCTTCCTCATCACTGGATGTCACTGCCTGATCCTGGAAAGGTTGGTCCAGCCAATGGGCATGGGTGTTGGCCACTGAGGCAGAGGTAAGAGGAGTCACCTGTCCTTCCACATTTCCCATGTGACATTCAGAAGTGAGTGTTTCCTTTTGACCTGTGTCACTATCAGTTAGTAAATGCCAAGGATTTGAGCTCAGAGGGCTAGGGACCTCCACCTGCGTCAGGATGTCTGCTTCTGGGCTGGCCTCCCCAGTGCCGACCTCATAACCTGCAATCCCAGGCAGCCACTGCTCAGCACCTGGGGGCCAGCTGAGGCTGGAAGGCAGCATGCTTGAGTCCAGAAATGGGGCTTCAGAAAAAGTGCTCTGGGCGTCACTCAACTCTATGGTGTCCACCTCCTGCTCCTCAGCAGAGCTGTTGTGTTCCCGCAGGCATAACTCTGTATGCACTGCTGCATCACCAGCAGGAGCAGGCTCCTCTTCAAGGCCTGAGATGATGTCGGCACCTCCCACATCCTCCTCTGGCTGCAAGGGTAAAGTCAACACTCCACTGAGCAGGTCTGTGTCCACTGGGTAAGGGGCAGGTCCAGGCACCTCCAGGACATGGAATGCTTCCGGGCCATCGGTCTCCTGTATGATCCCATTCACCTCAGCACTGGGGTTGCCCTCCTGGTCTGGAGACTCTGTGCTCAGCTGATCCACACTGCTGCCCAGAACACTGGAGGTCAAGGACTGGGGGCTGTCAGCGGGGAGCTCAGAGCAGGGTGTTGACTCGAGGGAACTGTGGCAGGTGCTCTTGCTTCCTCCTTCTGATTTAAAATGAGAACATCCAAAGTAAGGCATGAATCTACAGAAACAACCAGAGTACTGAAAAAGCATTTGGCTCAAGAAAAAATATTTTAAATGAAGGATATTTAGTTGGGTATAAATTAATCTTTATAGTCCCAGATTTGGGAAGCAGAAACAGGAGGCTCATGAGTTTAGAGCTGGTCTGAGCTACATAGCAAGTTCCAGGCTAGTCTCAGCTATTTGGTGAGACTCTGCTCTAACACCCCCATAAAAAGAAGAGGAAGACAAAGAAGAAGCCTGTTAAGTAGAAATGATCTTAGTACAGCAGTGTCTAGTGAAATGGACATCTCACTGGACACTGAATTTCATTAGTGAGATGCTGAGAAAGTGGAACAAGAATGAAGCGGATGGATTACAGGCCAACTGTTAAACTTGTCAAACGCGGAAGTGCTCACAAATGCTCCTTTCGACACTGCAGCAGCCTTTAGCTACAAGCCTCAATAAGCACCCAGGAGCGAAGTGCGTAAACAGTTCTATGTGGCTTCTATGTGGCCTGGGTGGTGGCAAATGCCTTCAGTCCCAGCACTCGGGAGCCAGAGGCAGGAAGGGCTCCATAGATCTCTACCTCAGAAAAAGAAAAAACCAGTTCTATCAAACAGTTAAATCCCATGTATGGTAACATGTCAAGACAAAATGTAAGATGTCCAACAAATCCCTGTTTCAATGACTGTCCCACATGTTTATAATGTCTCTGATCTGATGAATGGTATACATGGTAAGCCAACATCTTATATTAACTATTATCTTAAATATTAAAGAGCAAAATCCAGACCCTTCAATCCGAGCCTGAGCACATGGATTACTGTCCGATCAACACAGGCCCTCCAGAGATGCTTATGTGTGTACGCACACACTGTTAACGTGTGGGGAGGCTCAGGGTGGAAAGTTCTCTGTCTGCCAGGAGCAGCAAGTGCCCCTTCAGTGAGAAGCATTGTCCCTTCCCAGTTGATGTGCACGTCCCCAGAGGTTCTGGCCAGGCTACCCTAGGTGTCACACGAGTAAGTGTGCACTTGCTCAAGGACAGTACCTGTCTTTCTCTTCCTCCTCCTCTTCTTCACTTTGATAGGTTTCACGATAAGCTCCTGGTCAAAGTCTTCAGAGCTGATGACACTGAATCTCTGTGAGGATGGCTGACCACTCTGGCCCAGCTCAGGGCCAGCCTGAAGTCCAGGCACCAGCAGCGCAGAGCCACTGTCCGTGGAGGTGAGTGAACTGCTCCTGCTCCGCTGCTCACTGGCCACAGAACTGGCCACAGAAGAGCCTCGAAGCCTTGTCTCACAAACAGTGGCCCCCAGTGACTTCTCCAGATGCTGTCCATGGACCTGCTCAGAACATCTTGTCATCTCGGGACCGTCTCTCACTGAGAAAGAAGAGATTGGTTTACTACTGCTGGTTCTTGGGAAGATGACAAGGTGCAGCACTCAGCCTGCACCAGCAGCCTGGGCACCAGCAGCCACGAAACACCCAACTTCATCCTGCTAAAAAAAAAATCAAGCAATTCCACATTCTCCAAACCCAGAGAAACTCAAAGGATTACACAGGAGACTCCAGGGGACTTCGTGTTCTAGGAAGCTCATATAGCTAAGATCAGTAAGACAATTCACTATAGTTGCCTTTTGCAAACACTACCAGTAACAGAATACCACTAAATATAAAGCACTTCTCATTTTAATTTTATAAATGTTTATAAATGTTTCTATGTCAAGAAGATATAGTTAAGTTAAATTCCCTACTTATACTATGCTTTCATTATACCCTGATAGTGTCTAAGAGACATTCTAATTAAATTCCTTGAAATTCAAGGAAGAGAAGTAATTTCCCACTCGAGTGGGTCCCAGCAGAGGACACACGGAGGTCAGTGTCAGTGCAAGCATGGAGCAGGGTGGAGGCCCCGTGTGGGACAGGAGTCCTGTGCTAACAAGCCAGTAAACGTCCCACTGCAGTGGACCTCCCTCCATTCAACAAAGCACCTCGGGCTAGAGCTTCCACACCTGGAGGAAGCTCTACCATCACCAGCTAGAGCTTTCAACACCTCACCACGAAAGTGCAGTGCACTTCCACCGACCATCTACTGGGTGCTATGCACTGTACAAGGTGCCAGGTAACAGCCATCGAGAAAATTTATGAACTCTTATCCTTGAGGTACAAACATTCTCCTGAGGGTTGTCACTGGGCTGACTGGGTGCTGAGTACACACTGGCAAGGAGAGAGACTTAACTCTGTCCTGCAGTGACTTGCCAAAGATCACACAAGGTAGTGGGAGCGCTAGGTCTAGAGCTGTATGTGCTATGTGGAGCCACTAGCAAAATGTGACTTCCAAAATTCAAGTTGATGGAAATTAAGCAACCTTTAAAATTCGAATTATTAGTAGCACTCACCACCTGAAGCACTCACCACAGATGGCCAGTGATGTGCTCCCAGACAGAGCACATCTGAAGCAGTCGGCTCCACAGATAAAGTTCTCCTGTGCAGCAGTGCCAGGCCACTGCTCTCTGTGAGCCACACTGGACCTTCTTATACTGCTCATAAATCTTACATGCACTTCTTATAAGAACCCTGGGTTTAGAATATTCACCCCAACCCACTCTCTGCTTTGGGAAGATAAGTAGGGATAGTAAGGAAAGGCTGGCATGCTGGCATCACCCCCAAAAGCAAGTTCAGCATCGAGCCCGAGCTACATCAGCTGCTTGAAAACACTGCTACGCTTCTTTGTTCATTAGCAGTTATAGAGCATGTCCTTAACATGTGCAAGGGCTGGGGTTGAATCCCAGCCCTGCAAAACCAACCTACCAAGACAAGACGAGAGCCTGCCTCTGTGGCAGGTACCTGTGATCCTAGCACTTGGGAGGCTAAGTCAGAAGAAATGCAACTTTGGGTCAGTCTGGGCTATAAGATCCAGTCTAAATGAAAACAAACAAAGACCATTACGGTGTACATAAACCATAAAATAAGATCCAAAGCACAGGAGAAAATAACAATCCCAAAGGATAGTCTGTGCCTAGGGCAAGAGATGTACAGGAAATTACAAATGTCATTGTTTTAAAATTACACAACCTTGTGCTTCGGAGACATTAACCACACAGAGTCTCAGATAGGGCACCTGGACGAGGTAAGTGGTTTCTGATTTCTCCTTCCTATCTTTACACCCGGAGGAAGCTCTACCACCATCAGACTGCCTAACACACCTTAAAGTAGGTCACCTCCCTGACAAGCCTCTAAATACCTCCTTGCTTAAGCAAACCCCAATGACAGAACCTTTTTTTGGTTCTTCAGGACAGGGCCTCTCTGGGTAGCCTTGGCTGTCCTGGAGCTGCCTCCCTAAGTGCTGGGGTTAAAGGTGTGCACCTGACTTTAAGCACACTTTTCCTAAGCAGGACAGACACTCTAAATCAGAGGACTGACAGCACACACAGCAGCACACTTGGCAGTTAATACAAACCTATGGATGCGAGTCCTTCAGGTCTGCTTGAAATCCTTATAATGTTCCTATCTCCCTTTAGGAAAAATATTTCATTTTCTGTGCAGGAAACAGACACAATATCACCCAGTCCTTCCAAACCAGCAACTGTGGCCTGTCAAAACAAACAAACATGCAACCAGGCAATAAACAAGCAGGTGAGTAGTTATTAATTAATTGTGAGTAATTATTGGATTTTGTCATGGCAGTTCCTGGAAAACTCATAGAAGCAATCCAACCCTCGGCTGGACAGTGTTTGATATGTGGAACCTACAGTCACACACATAACTCAGTAGTGAGACGCCACGATGGCTGGTGTCGCCTCTCTCACCTCTTAGCCATTGTCTCCTGACCCTCTAGCTCTCTCCCTTCTTATGACGGGAAGCTCATATTCTGTTAGGGCAGGGGCTCTGGCCAATCTGAGCCACCTGTCATCCTGCCTATGCTGTGCCTCACCGAAATGGAGTGTGTCAGGCCGAAGCCCAGCCCAGCCCTCAGCCTGTGCACGGGATGTCCTTTCCTGCTGACTCACTCGCCTTAGGAAGTGCTGCTGAACACTGTCATCCTGAGTGGCTAACGGTGTCTGCTACAAACCTGTGTCCCATGTCTCCTATGCTACAAACCTGGATGGACTAAGAATGACACACCACCCAACAAGTGCCCCTACTGTGTGCTTTCCTACAAACTAGGACAGTCTTGAATCCCAAGGCTCTTGAATTGAAAGAAGGGAGGGAAACGGACCCTGGCTAAAAGCAGATGGTACTACATAGGATTATCCTGGGTCCACACTAGTCTAAAGCAGTTCTTGCTTTACAGTTGACAGTGTACACAGAGATTAGTTAACTGCAAAAGACACGGAGCCTAGGTTCTCTGCTAATTTTCAGGTAGTCCTGACAGAAAGCTGGAAACAGGACATTAGGTTCCGAAAGCTGCCAATCATGGTACTTGGCAGAAGTGTAGACAGTGTCTGTTCACAGACACACTGTCTCCATTTCCCTGCCTAGGAGGTTAATTACACCTGCACTGAGAGGCGCAGGTCAAATGCTCAGATGAAAAGCTGATGCAGTTACAACATGTCTTAAAGCCAATAATTTAAAAGTTCCACGGAAAGCCAGGAGAAAAGTTAAGTCATCCACAATGGGAGAAACCAAAGAAACAAATGCAGGACTAGAAGGTGACCCCTGATCCAGAGGCCCTGTGCCCCACTCAGAGACTTCCAGGGCCAAGTTATCTCTGCACCAAAAGTGTCACCAAGCATGGCCAGTAACTAGAGAGGTGTCAGTGGGAGCAAATGAGTTTGATTCTCTGGGGACACTCTCTCTAGAGATGCTGTGCCACAGGCCCACAGAACTCATGTGGAGGAGAGAGAGCATGGCCTGGATTCTGGAGGAGAAGGGTTGGGAGTAGGGCAGGCCAGAAGCTCTGATCTTAGGACAAGAAGTAACTGAAACCAAACAGCTTTGTTTAAAGTCCTAAATCAGCTTCTGAGAGTGATGCATTATCACCTGATTTAGGCAGAAATGTTTTCTACCATGAGTTAATGGTACTGGAAAGTTGCCAAGATATGCCAGTTAGTTTCTAAAAAGAAATAATATGCTTGTCTTTGGATAAGACGCAAAGGGGGAAAAAACCAAACCAAAACAAACAAAAAACAAAAAACAGGGGAGAGCACAGTGAACAGGGAACCTGCTCCTGGGCAGCACCACCAACTTGGACTGGGAGACAGTCCTCAGAGTTACTGTGTCTGTCAAGTCTGTCTTCACTGGATGGGATAGATAGGAATTTGGTAGTCAGAAAACACATGATCTATATAAAGACTTCGTAGCACAGTATGAACCCAGGTACTCAACAGGTTGAGGCAAGGCAATCAAAAGTTCAAGGCCTACCTGGGTTACAGAAAGGTTCAAGATCAGCCTGGGCAGCTGAGTGGGTCCCTGCCTCAAAAATAAAATGTAAAAACAACAAAAACAGAGCTATATAGCTCTGTAGTAGAGCATTTGCTCAGCATTCATAAGTAAAATGCAAGACTGAAACAAAACACACAAACTAGAAGTGAGGGGTGTAGCTCAGAGGAGGCAGAGCATGTGTTTAACATGCACAAACACCCTGAATCCAACACAAGAAAAATACATGCATGCATGCATACATACATACATATATACATACATACACTCGTACATGGAAAGGAGAGAGCAGGAAGAGAAGGCTGATCAGTACGAGGCTTGGCAGACAAAGGTAAAGGTACTTACCATCAAATCAGATACCTGAGCTTAATCTCTGTGACTCAAGGTAGAAGGAGAGAAATAACTCCCACAAGTTGTCCTCTGACCACAAAGGTGCCAGGACATGTAGGTATGATCACAAGTAGGCACATGTGAGTTTGCATACGCACACAAATAAGTGGAATTTAAAAAATGAATCAAATATTATAATGAACAAGTTTAATTGGAGCTTAAAAAAAACCCAAAATATCAAATTTCTTAGAGTAGGACTATGAATATCAAAAAACAAGTTTTTTTAAAAAAAAAACTAAAAATTATAGAATTCCATTTGATTTCCTTGGTTGTCTCAAAGGGAAAAGTAAACACCAGAGTTAAAACTGTTCCTTTCGTCTTCTCAGGAACCCAGGAGTTGAACACCAACGACAGGTGCAGTTCTCCACATACCTGATTGACGGTGTCCAGAAGGTAGATACTGTACTCATTCCAGCTCAACACCCAGCCTTCTCGGAAGAAGCAGGAAACAAGCCCCAGGTGTTTCTCAGGCGAGCTGCAGCTTCCCCCATCAGAGGGCTCCAGACGAGGGTAGAGCTCAAAAGGTGTGACTCCTCCAGCAAAGACATCCTTGAGGATAAATGTAGCTTGAACAGTCCCATGGACGTCAGCCTTCCACAGCCGGAGCCCAGGCCGGGCTGCATACAGAGTTAGATCGCTTTGCTTACACAGTCCTGGTATAAAACAAGCACCAAATTTCCCAGTACTAAAATCGGAAGAAAAAAATGAAAAGAAAGGAAAAAAAATACAAGCATGGACTAACTGGAAGTGATTCAATTGTCAGTTCCTCATATCTACTCTAAGAATCTACGGAATAACAAGTGAGTGCTTTTCTCACCCTCTCTCCTGTCTGCTGGTCACTAAGTCACACTGGCGTCCGTGCACCCAGGCTCCACCACGCCTTCACAAGCACACTCCGCCTGTGTCATCAACCGTCCCCACAGCACAGCTCACACAGTCTCATACCTCCTGTCCATTCTCCCTTTAATCCTGACAGCAGCCCCACAAGGCCGCCGTTACAGCTTCTGTTACAGAACACAGGCTGACGCGTCCAGGGCTGCCCCTGCTATCCCCGCTTACCATGCCGCTCCTTCGAGAGTCTGACGGCTACCATCACCCTAGTCCTCGAATGAAAAGCTTTACTCACCTCTGGAGCAGCTCATCTACGTCTCAGAAATTCTCCAAACCCACCAAGCGTACCAGTTTCCCTTCCCATCCTCAAGCTTGGTAGTCTTTTCTTATAACACTATAAAATACCCAACACACACAGAAGAGCATGTGTGGGAGCTGGGGAGACTGCTCAGTGCGGTTAAGAGCACTGCTGCTCTTGTAGACAGCCCAGGCTTGGTTCCCAGTACCCACATGGGGGCTCACAACCAGCGGCATCTCATGTCAAAGGGGTCTGATACCCAGTTCTGACCTCCTTTGGTTTCAGGCACTCATGTGCTGTATATATTTCCTTTTCCCGCTCAAGCTGAAGATGTGTGTGTGCGTGTCTTCAGACACAATACTCATACACATAAAATAAATAAATCTTTAAAAAATAGAGACGATTTCGTTGTTGAGAGCATGTGCTGCACTTGTAGAGACCCGGGTTTGATTCCTGGCAACCCCATGGTGTTCACAGCCATCTATTAACTGCAGAGCATCCAACGCCCTCTTCTGCCCTCCATGGGCACCAAGCACACACATACAAAAATGCAAGCAAAACACACAAAAAATAAATAAATCTAGCCAGTCATGGTGGTGCACACCTTTAATCCCAGCATTCAGGAGGCAGAGGCAGGAGGATTTCTGAGTTTAAGGCCAATCTGGTCTACAAAACAAGTTCTAGGACCAACAGAACTTTACAGAGACATCCTGCCTCAAAAATTTTTTAAATAAATAAATAAGATGAATAAACCTATGCACTAAATGTCACAAAGCCTAATGCAGTGGCTCCCAATCTTCCTGGTGCTGTGACCCTTTAATACAGTTTTTCACATTGTGGGGACCTCCAACCATAAAATTATTTTCATTGCTACTTCATAACTGTCATCTTACCACTGTTATGAATTACAATGTAAATATCTCTGTTTTCAGATGGTCTTAGGTGACCCTGTGAAAGGGTTGTTCATCCCTAAAAGGGTCTTGACCCAAGTATATTGAGAATCACTGGCCTAATGGAATTTGCACCAAGGACCTACCTTCTGCCTTCAGACCAAGTTAGAAGCTGAACCATGCATGCCCTCTGTGCTCATAATGATTTACCCTGGCCAAAACTCAGACCAATGGGCTGAATTTTATAGATATCATTCTCATTTTTAATGATACTTACTCCAACACTAATTTAGCACTTTCATTTTAATAAATGATGCCATATGTATAATTTTGCAGGTTTTAAATTTAGGGATAATTAAATTTTTTTAAAAATGATGTGCTTTTGCATGTTATTACGTGCGTATGGGAGCAAGTGTCAATACAGGCCAGAAGAGGGCGCAAGGGCCCCTGGAACTGGTCTTAGAGGTGGCTGTGAGCCATCCAACATGGATGGTGGGAAAGGAATGCAGATCCTCAGAATGAACAGGTATGAGCTCCTAACTGCTAAAGCTCTATACGTATATCCAGACATAGTGCGTGCGTGCGTGCACACACACTTTTTCCCCCCTTTCCCTTCTCCTGCTTGCTCCAGCCCCACTCATTCAGGCTCAAAGGTTTCTATTTATTTATTGTATGTAAGTACACTGTAGCTGTCTTCAGACACCCCATAAGAGGTCATCAGATCTCTTTACAGGTGGTTGTGAGCCACCATGTTGTTGCTGGGATCTGAACTCATGACCTCAGGAAGAGCAGTCAAGTGCTCTTAACCACTGAGCCATCTCACCAGGCCCGCCCCCTGATACTTTTTGATAATTTAAAGTAACTTGTCTTTTATACTTAACCAATGTTCTAAGATTCATCTTTGATTTAAAAAACACTATAGTGCTTATTCATTTTTACTGCTGTATAGTTTTTCACAACTTATTCAATTTTTACCATTATCTCTTTCTCTGAGCTAAGATCTCATACAGCCTAGGTTGAACTCAAATTCAAAATTCTACTGGCACACTTTCTTAGATTCTACAGCTACTACACTTGGCTTTATAGTGTTTTAAAAAATACATATATATATCACTACAAAATGTTTCCTTGGGTACTGAAATATGCATGGATTTGTGTAAAGTATGCACATCTATGAATCTAATATTTAAGTTTTGTGGTACTGGGAACTGAATCCAGCTACTACTCCACTGTATACACAGTGGTTTTGTTTTTTTAATTAGAAATCATTCAAGGGCTGGAGAGATGTTTCAGTGGCTAGAAGCACTGCTGGTTTTATAGTGGACCTGAATTTGATTCCTAGCACCCACATCAGTGCAGCTTACAATCTATAACCAGGACAGCAATGCTCTCTACTGGCCTCAGATACCTGCACTCACTTTGGCAGACATACACACACTTAAAATTAAAAGTAAGTACACGAAATATCTTTCTTTTCCTTTTCTTTCCTAAACAAAGCTTCTCTGTGAAATAGCTCTAGCTAGCCTGGAACTTAGAGATCCCCCTTCCTCTGCCTCTTAAGTGCTGAGATTAAAGGCGTGTACTATTAAGCCTAGCTCTAAATAAAATCTTTTTTGTTTGTTTGTTTGTTTTTCAGTTTTTTCGAGACAGGGTTTCTCTGTGTAGTACTGGCTATCCTGGAGCTCACTCTGTAGACCAGGCTGGCCTCGAACTCAGAAATCCACCTGCCTCTGCCTCCCAAGTGCTGGGATTAAAGGGGTGTGCCACCACTGCCCGGCTTCTAAATAAAATCTTAAAAACAAATAATTTATTCAATCTTATTACTGGACTGTTACTGTTATTGATTTGTTTGCAGACAGGATTTCATGAACCCAAGGCTATCCTGGAATCTGCTAGTCCATGATGATTGCTATATAGGATAAATATCAGGATGACATAGAACTTCTGATCTGCCTGTCCCTACCTTCCAAGAGCTGGGATTACAGGTGTGTACCACTGAGTCCACCTACGACATTTTGTTCCTTTTCTTTTTTTTTCCCATGAGGCTAGAGATTGAACTCTGGGTCTCATCTGTGTTGGGCAAGCACTCTGCCCTGGGCTGGTAACTGGAGTATTATCTTGTTAGAACTGGAGCCCAGGCTTCGCCCATTGACCTGTGCTACATCCCAGCCTTTTCCTTAAACTGTTGGTTGGTTGGTTGGTTGGTTGGTTGGTTGGTTGGTTGGTTGGTTTGTTTGTTTTCTGAGACAGGGTCTCAGTATGCAACCCTGAATGGCCTATAACTCACTGGGTAGAGCAGGCCTGCCTCTGCTGGGATTACAGACCTGTGCTACAATGCCTGGCCTTCTTACACTATTTTCAATGATGGTGCCATGTGCCATGAGATTTTTTTTTTGCACACTCTTCCTAGCATACAGGACTGAGAGTCTGTCCAAGGTGTTTCCAGAGTAGGACTGTTGAGCTGCCACACTCAGGTTTACAGCCAATGTGCTTACCCCAGACTACCCACCTGGCTCCCGCCCCTGCCCCAAACTGAATTCTCAAGAGCTCTCACTGTTTGACAACCTTTGTCAACGGTCAGATTTCTACCAGAGTTCAACCTGAAGAGGTTTAGCTCCACTGTGCCTTGCTGATTCTTTCTTTAAACAGTCTTTAGCGAATCTGGACAGTACAAAGGGCACTGGCGTGAGTCACTATTAGCCTTCTGAGAACTCTGTGTGCTAATCTTTAGGAAGCATACCTTCCGTACCCCAGGTGGAGTGAGAATGAACGAGAAAGCTCCATTAAGCTCAAAACCAAGTGTGTGCCATTCCCAGTCTCCTGCCTGAGGAGCTGCCATGTGCCATCCCTCAGTCCATAGCTTCTCGCTCCCCATCACCCCTAGGGCTCTCCCTAGGTGGAGAGCCCCTCTGCATAAGGGTATCCCACTAGGCCCCACTGGTGCCTTAGTAAATTAAATCCCTCTGGATAGGATCCAGGGAGGAGATCATATGTCAGATTTGGCATTAGAACAAAGATCATTAGACTAATCATCTGTTTTGAGCCCACAGAGTTTTCATAGACAACTATGTAATAGGACTGTTTCTGAGTCTTGCCTTTAGTGGGTTTGTGCTGGAAAGGTTCCCTAAAGAGAAAAGCCCAAAGGAATCCTAGTTAAGCAACCAGTGCCTCTCCCTCCTGCCTTTCCTGTCAAATAATCTGTTGGGGGATCCAATTTTAAGTTTGCTTTCCTTCTACTTCTGGGACCTCTTTCTTCTCGTTGCTTCTGTTTTGTTCACTGTACGTACCAGAGCGTGTGTTTTACCCTGCACTCAGTGACCTGAAGCCTATCAAACTGGGCGTGTATTTGTGAAAGATGAGGACGAGGTCGGCACCAGGGCCACCCGCCACAGGCATTTGTACACGAGGATGGGTCCTAGACAGAGCGGGCTTGGAGGACGTTTGTGTGTTCTGGAGATTCTGTGAGGGAGCAGACAGAAGGCAGTTAGCTGGAAAGAACCAGCCCATGAAGCAGCCTTTCCTGAACCTTTGCTTAATGAAGCACATGGACAGGCACGGCCTCATCCTTGTAATCAACACCTATGGCAGCACATGACAAAAAGATAGTAAGACACAAGTTAGAAGTAAAATCATTGTCCCCTGAGAAAGAGGACTCATTCCTTTGTTTCTGAAGGTGGGACCAGTCCCTGACATAGAGCATACTTTATATGGAGACCAGGAGGCAGACCACAGGTTTGAGCTCACTGAGGGCATGTCAGACTACTGATGGCATTAAGAAAGGAGCCAAAGAGGGGTATGAGAGAACTTCCAATATGATGGCTGCCGGGCAGAGAAGAGAATGAACCTAGTGTTGTTGCAGAGCACAGGGCAAGGGTCAGCCATGAATACATCAGAAGTTGGCTGTGTCTTGTCTGGCCTCATCCACCTCTCCCTTGACACTTGTCACCGATGGCACCACCAGCCCCGGGAAGACCCTCCCATGCCTCTTAGTCTCATTCTCCAATCTGCCTCAAATCCTTTCAGCATCCGTTAACTCACTGTCATCCTTCCCAAACCTGTGCAGGCAATGTCCCTTTACTGAAAGGAGGACACAAGGTGGGGGCCCTCTAACTCCCACAGCTTCTCAAAAGCCAGTTCCCATCACCCACCTGGCTCCTGGCCCTCCTCAGCTAAAGTCCTCCACTGTTCTGCCTCCCCCTCTTTCATCCCCACACAGTGGCTATGGAGGTCCATTTTCTTGCTGGAGGACAGCAAAGTGCAGGATGTGTATGTTTCTTCTGTCACATGTCTGGTTTGTGGGGAGCCCTAAGTTCTCACCTTCTCTTTGTTGTCCTTTCAGCAGGTGATCAAAGGAGAGATACTCTTTTAGCCCAGAACTCTCTTTATTTTAGCCTCTCCTAGTCAGCATGTAGGCTTCACACTGAAAAAACTCTTCCCTGACCCTAGACTAAGTGGAAGGCTGCTTACATTTCTATAGCACCCTGTAGCCATTTCCACGTCTATCAGTAAGACCTGGGTCTGCCTTTTGGTCTCTATGACGGGAGAGGCCCACATCTGCTAGGCTACCCAGTCTCATTTGGCCAAAACCTACCAGTGTGGAGCACAGCAGCAGCCAGGAGCACAAAGGTGCTGAATTCTCAGGGCTCTAGAGAGAAACCATGTCTAGAGTGGACGCACACTACTACCCTCTGTATTCCTCAGACCAAGCCCTGGGGCGCACTAGCTATGCTCTCAGGTCCTGCATCTCCTCAAACTAGATGACTTCTTCGTCCCATCAGACTCCATAAAGTGTCTTTGGCAGGCACAGGCTACCAGGAACCCCAGGCTGGTGTGGCTGTGGTCTCCACATCTGGCTACCAGGAAAGGAATCCCAGACTGGTGTGGATGTGGTCTCCACATCTGGCTAACAGGAAACCCAGGTGAACTTAAGGGTCAATTCTGAGAGCCATGTGACACACCTAAAGCTTACCTTTTCCTTGGCTGGGATCCAATCTGCTTGACAGCCTTCTCCTCTGTGTAAAAGAGCAGGCTTCTCTGCAAGGTGGACACAAGCAGCACTTTCTGGCTGTAGTCCAGCTGCACAATGGAGGACGGCTCTTCCAACACAAGGTGTGAGTTGCAGATACCCTGTGAGACAGCCAGGTCAACAACGGCACAAGACTGCTCAGCTCCCTCACAGTGATTACCACACCCCTTGCTAGCTGTACTGAATTCAAAACGGTTCTGTGGTACCAGGCACAGTGTGCACACCTACAATCTCAGCACGGGGAGATGGAGGCAAGTACATCAAAAGCTCAAGGTCATTCTTGTCATACAGTGAGTTTGAGGTCAGCCTGAGCTACGTGAGTACTTGTCTCAACAAAACAAAACAAATTCAGAGCCATTGTTAACCTACTGCAAATGAGATTTGAAAAATTTCTTACTAACTAAATTTAGTAAGCAATTTGAAAATTACTTACTAAAATTTCTTAATTTACAAGACAGTAGAATTGACATTAATCTCATATATACCAAGTTTGAAAAGAGACATCAAAAATCTACATATTTCTCTAATAATATTCTAAGTAAATAGTTCAAAGAAGGATGCATAAAAATATGCCACAGCACATGTATTAAGTTTCTTATATAATATATGAAATCCTGTGACAATGATATGCTCTCACGGTTTCTCTACAAGGAATGGCTTGTGGGATGGCTCCACAGATCAAAAGGGCTCGCCACACAAGCCTGATGACTTGAGTTCAATCCCAGGAACCCATTTCTGAAATAGAGAACTGACTCCTGAAAGTTGCTCTCTGACATTGGCATGAGCACTGTGGCGTGTGAGGTTGCATTCTTCACACTCTTCACAAATAAAAAAGGTCATTTTTCTGTTAAAACAAAACATATTCATGTATCAAAAATCTGATTTTAACCCAGATATGGTGGTGTGATTGCTGTGAGTTAAAAGACAGCCAGAGCTATCTGATGTATCAAGACCCCAAGACCCAGTCTCAAACCCGTTTCTCTCT